CATCATCATCATGACTATCACCATCATCATCATGATTATCATCATCATCATCATGATTATCATCATCATCATCATGATTATCATCATCATCATCATCATGACTATCACCATCATCATCATGATTATCATCATCATCATGACTATCACCATCATCATCATCACTACCACCATCATCATCATCCTTCATCATTAATATTCATCATCATATCATTCATCATCATTATCATTCATCATTCATCATTATCATTCATCATCATTATCATTCATCATCATTATCATTCTTCATCATTATCATTCATCATCATATCATCCATCATCATTCACCATCACCATAATCATTCATCATCATAGTCATGTCATTATTCTTCATATTTATATAACTGTGGTCGTGATGTATATTTCCAGCACTTAGTGCAGGAGTGGTTGGCCTGACTCTTTCTTATGCCATCATGATTTCTGGTGTATTCCAACAGTGTGTAAAACAAAGTGCTGAAGTAGAAAACATGGTAGGTTCTTTATTCTTACAACAAAGATAATTGACAATGTTTTTTTAAATAAAAAACTTAGCTCAGTGGTTAGAGCATCGGAACGGCATCCAGAAGGTCATTGCTGGTTCAATTCTTATCAAGAATTCTGATTTTTTTTAGTTTCCCTTCTAAGCTAGTGACAAATGACAAATTACTACTTTCCTAGCGTACAAATAATGTCTTCATATATAAAGACCATTGAGTTTGTAGCAAAAGATGACAAAGGTCTTTGCCACGTAAAACAGATAATTTGAAGTCTAATGACAGAAATCCCCAAATAAATCCAGTATGAATTCTGGTTTTCGATTTGACCCACTTTTAACTCTCTCACACTCACAATACCATTCAAATTTAATATTCAAACGGTTATTTTTTTGTTATAGATGACTTCTGTAGAGAGAGTTTTGGAATACACTGACCTTGAGCCAGAAGCTGAACCTGAAACAGACGTGAAACCACCCAAAGGCTGGCCAGATAAGGGTGGTATCAAGTTTGACAACATGTCATTCTCATACCACAGGTCAATGCCAAAAGTGCTGCATAATATTTCATGTTGTATCAAACCAAGAGAAAAGGTAATGGTACCACCAAGTCACTAACCTACTTTTTTATTACATTTATTTTCTTCGATCCCATTTTTCTTTTTTCCCTTCCCATTTTGTTTTCTTTCGTGTCATTTTTATTCACTTCTATCCCATTTTTCTTTTAACTCTATTATCTTGTCATTGAAGACTTGCAAATGAAATAGAAATAATTAATGTTTCTGACCACGCTTCATTGCCTTGAACTCTATATCTTTGTTTGGGTAGGATAAGACATAAATGACTTATAATTAACCGGGGGTGGGGTGGGGGGTGAATATTGCTGGGCTTCCCTTGAAATCATTTCCTGTCTTGGACGGAATGTTCATCAGCTGAATCGCATTCGTTCTGGCTGACAGCACATGGTTGGTCAGTGTTTAACCAACTTTTTGAGCAGATAATGAGATTAAATACTTTTTCAGTTGATTGAAATCTAGCTATAACTGGAAGGATGTTTGTGTTAGCAGTCTAGTGGCTATTGTATCTTATAACTGGGAATTTATGTATTTTATTCATTATTTTGCTGGCTTTATGTAGATTGGTGTGGTAGGCCGTACAGGAGCTGGCAAGTCGTCTCTTCTGTCCACTTTGTTCCGACTTGCTGAACCAATAGGACTGATAGAGGTTGATGACATGAATATCAGGGAACTGGGGTTAAGAGATCTGCGCAGCAAGATTTCTATCATCCCACAAGTAAGGATGTAATGAAAAGGAAAACTGGAGTGGAAAGGGCGGGAAAGAAAAAGAAAGGAAGGGAAAGGAAACTAAACGAGAAGGGGAAAAGTAAAAAGGAAAAAGAAAATAGAAAGGAAAAAAGAGAAGGAAAACGAAAAGAAAGGAAGGACGAATGGAAAATAAATAATAATAAAAAAAAGAGAATGCAAAGGAATGAAAAGGAATAAGGAGGGGAAAAAATAAAAGAAAGGAACTGGAAAGAAGGGAAAGAAAAGAAAGACAAAAAGGAAGAAAAAGGGAAAGATGGGAAAAGGAAAGAAATGAAAAGAAGAATAAAACAAAGTTTTTTTATACCGAGCAAAATTATCTGTTATCTTTCAGGATCCGGTCATTTTTGGTGGAACAATGAGAAAGAACATCAATCCTTTCAATGAATACAACGACAATGATCTGTGGAACGTTCTAGAAGAGGTATACTTTGGTCGAAGGGTACTCGGGACATATGAGATTTTTGATTGGCAAAGTAACGACTTTGGTCTCGAATTTTACTTAGGCTTCCTGTGGTAGGACCCGGTTTCTGTTTACTGAGGGTACCAGAGGCCCCTGAGAGCTTAGAGAGGAGAGAGGATAAGGGGCCCCTTCTCTCTCTTCTCTCCTTTCCCAACCCTTCACACAGGCCTCTCGTATCCAGGGTAGTATCTGTTTAGCCTAAAGCTATTCTTCTGAGTGTGTTGCGCCAATGCAAGGTGCCCCAAAGAATTTTTTTTAAGGTTTCTACAATTGTCCTTTTATTAAGCTTTATCGAAATAACCTAAATTAAAGTGTAAAAAGCGTTATGTATCAAAGCGATCTACTCTGGTTGCTCAAGCAAGCTTTATTTTACTTGCTTCAGGGTCTGTGCTGGGAAGCATCAAGATCGTGAAAATACATTTTTGTTTGATTATTCTGCGTAAAAAAATGCACGATTTTCACGCAATCTTAACGCGATTTTAGACAGTGCAGTCAACAACTAATACAAACAGAAAAAAAGCTAAAAAAAGGAAACCCCCCAAAACAGAAAGTTTTGAGACTTCTCAAAGTCAATTCCTGCCCTTAACGTGATTCCTGGTTCGTAGTCCTAACAATGGCTTTTTTTGTATGATATTATAATTCTGTTAGGTTCAACTCAAAGCAGCTGTGGAAGCTCTTCCAGGAAAACTTGAGGCAGAAATAGCAGAAGGAGGGTCAAACTTTAGTGTTGGTCAGCGGCAGTTGATTTGCCTGGCACGTGCTATTTTGAGGCATAACAAAATACTTGTCATCGATGAGGCTACAGCAAACGTCGATCCGCGGTTTGTCTGAAGAACTATTATCTTTCTCCCAACTTTCTTGAGCTTTCTTGAGCTTTGACTTCTTGTAGTATTTTCGTTTGTTGATTTACAATTCGTTCTTTGTGCAGAACCGATGCATTGATCCAAACCACCATCCGAGAGAAGTTCAAGAAATGTACGGTGCTAACTATTGCTCATCGACTCCACACAATTATGGATTCTGATAGGGTCATTGTAAGTATGATGACAGGATATGATCTGCTCCTAAAGTCCTGCTTTCAGATCTTGCCTATTCCATTCATCTTTTTTTAAAATTACAGGGGGTTTTGAGTTTTTTTGATACAGGAAAAGTGAAAAAGGCTTTTTTTGCTATTTTTACTTTCTTTTTCCCTTTTTTTTTTGGGGGGGGGGTGGGGGGGAGGCTTAATACCACAGGAAGCCCAAATGTAACTGCATTTTTGATTCATTAGTGGGTAAGGAATAGGGCCTAGTTTGCCACAGGGAGGCTACATTCAATGACAAGACAGATAATGGAGTTTTAAAAGTATATTTTATGCGTGGGGGTGGCACTCTATACCACAGGGAACCCAATACTTGTAAAGGATTAGAAAGACCTTATACTCTCTTTATCTATCTAGAATTTTTTAAATAAGACATTTTTAGGGGTGGAGATTGAAAACGTAACCATAGGAATCCCAATTCTGATAAAAATATGGGATGAGATGAAAACTCTTATATGCTTTTTATTTCTTAGGTCTTAGATGCTGGTCACCTTAAAGAATTTGATGCCCCATACATTCTTCTTAAGGATGGCAAAAGTATATTCTCACAGCTTGTAACTCACACTGGACCAGATGAGGCACGAAAGCTCTATGAAGTAGCGCGAGAAGCATACTATGAAAAAAAGGCCATATCAGAGGACCAAGAACCAGATGAACCTGATGGAATAACAAGTTTATCCGAAGGTGAATCACCAGAAGTGGTAATCATTGACCACCTTGCTAATGGAGAAGCTGGGAAATCACTTCAATTTGAATCAAACTTGTAGTTTTTATATATGAAATATATATATTAATTATATATTTTTTCAAATTGAGATATCAATTACTTCTTTAAAGTGTGGGAATACCTAATACTTTAGTTTCTTCGTGGAAAAACTTCCTTGACTTTTAGATGATGATTTTTATTTAATTCAGTCGTAATAATTTATTTCTTTAATAACTTATATAGCACAAAATTCATGTAATCCTAACCTGATTGTTTATGATAATTTCCATCTCTAAACTTTATTAATTTAGAAAGATGAAAATTTACTTGTGATGAAGTTATTAATTTTTTATAATTATACTGTCAAAAAATTGTATCTGTAAAGGTGTTCAAATTATTTAATATAAACTTATTTTTTTATTTTTATTTTACTATAATAATTTATTAGAAATTAAATTGATATTAATGGTTAAATGATTGAAAACAAAACATTAAATATATTGTCATGTTCTGTATCCGAAATATCCATATATACTATTTATTCAAATAAATATTACCTGATTATCAAAATTGTAAGGCTGCATGTAATTTATAATAATAATAAATAATAATAATAATAATAAATGATAATAATGAGTGGTTATCCTGCAAGTATGATGTCTTTATTCATTTCAAGAGGGTGATACATGACAGTTGAGAACTTTGCACTGTTAAACTTGGTGACCCTATATGTCTCTAGGTGAGACCGGACTGCCATTTGATGTGGCCATCAGAGCAACTCAAAGGTCAAATCATTTGCAGATATCTTTACAACAAAGGCTGTACCTTCTCTCAAATGTTTTAAGACCCCCAAGTGTTGGTCCAGCTTTGGAGACTTGCACTCGCCACTTCCCACATAGCAGACTGGTGATCTGAAGCTTGTCTTTCTGCTCTATGTATTCCCTTTTTCTCCCTTAATTTTATGGCAACATGAAATACTTTTGTTAAATTTGCTTCATTGACCAACCAAGCAACTTGTAGTTGAGCATAGCATTGTCGCATGACATTAGTTATATCAAATATGAAATAATTCAATATTTGATCACTTTCAAAAAACTCACTGATATGAGGAAAATTAAGATTTGTAGACCGAGAAAATGAAATATCAGCATCAAACAAAATGCAAGGTGCTAAAATTCCTGCTTTAAAACTAACTTCGTTATCTCAAATATTCATTGACAGCCACTGATTAACAGCTGTCACAAAACACCAGTCTTAAATATTAATTCTTTATAATTATTGAGATTGACTCGTTCGCTCAAAGTCATACCAAAAGACATACACATATTATGATAACTTCACTCGTTTAATTAAATCACTCTACATTATAAAAACCTTCATATACATCTTCATTTAAAATGGTTATTTTTAAAATTTGAGGGAAAGAAAAAGACACATGGCCAATATATTATTTTCATGTCAGTCACATGTGAGTGGCTTCGAAATATCCTTAGTTTTTCAACGTAAAATCGTTCAAAGACAAACTAATTCAGCTATTTAAGAATATGCTGGCTATTTTAAAAACATAAAACACGCTGAAAATGAAACAGAGTTCAGTCTTTGTTGCTAACTTCTGGCATCAGTTACATTTTGTTTGTTTTGGTAACCGTCCTTATCATCTAGCTTTATCATCTTCTGAATCCAGATCTTCCTCAAACGGCTCCCCAACACCAGAATGATCCATAAGATCCGTAAGACTCTTTTCTATTTCGTCCATTTTCTTTCCTGTGTCGTTAATTCTCTTTATGATGGAATCTTCTGCAGATTGGAACTTGTCTTGCATATTCTGTAGCGTTCCTTCGACAAATTGAATCAATTCTGGGACAGTTTTTGGGTTAGGATTTTCCATTATTGACCTGAAAATCCCAAAGATGGATGTTAGAACTATTACATGTTTAAAAATTACAGCAATCGGAGCCTTACTTACTCGTAAAAGAGTGAATTTTTTGCAGCCTTTCTGTCCAATGCTCTTCTTCTCTCTGCTGTAAAACTCAGTTTGAAATATGCATGGCGTCCCTAGTGCTAAGAGAACGCTAGCTGTCATCTTATTGGACAGTTGCTAATTAGCTAACCAATCAGAAAACACTAGTAGGCTTAGGAGAACGACGCTCAGCTGAATTCTTTCATTTTGAAGAAGAGTAAAATAAATAAACAAATAAAATAAATTATATGAAACTATCCTAAAATCTTCAAAACACTAAATATCAACCATTTTTCCATTGTGGGGAAAGGATAGAAGGGTTGTGGCGCAAATTTTCATACTAAATTGTAAATGGAATTTACTTTCCTTGAAATATTTATATATATATTAGACAAATAAAACCATTTTTAATATAAAAAATTAGCAAAAGAATCGAAAAAGTGACGTAAAAAGTAAGCTAGAATGAAAATTGAATTATTAGCGACGGAATATCGATTACATTTTGTAGGTCGATAAGCCCTCGTAGAGCATGTGTGCGCAGTCGCCAAGGCAACACGACGCCTTGGTCCAAATATTATTCGGCCATTTTCAAAGTGCATTGAATAAAGACAGTCGTTAGTAGTGGACGTACTTCGAAAGAACAACTATTTTTACTATTATTTCGGGTGCAATGGCATCCCCACACTCGGATAGATCAGATATATTCCCTAAAATTCAAAAACAAGGGCTCGTAGAGTCTAAAACGCCACAGTTAACTTATATTGAAGACTCAAGCTTCGATATTCGAGAACTTGCACGAGAAACAGGCAACGAGAGACAGTTTTTTAGGAATTCGCCTCCTACAATCGTTGGATACAGAAAACCTGGGAGTCAAAACAGTTCAAGGAATAACTCTCCAGTACAAAGGAGATTTGAGGTAAATAATTTTTCTCCTTTCTTATAGTTCCCGGGTATAGTTTAGATATTTTATATCGTATTAGTAGAACAGATGTTGGAAGTTTTGGTTATTTTTTAGATAAATCCATTTAAAAACATAAACATTGAGTATTATTTTCTTATTATCTTACTCTTATTCAACCCAAAGAATAAAATGCTTTGTTGAAAACACTGTTTCTTATATTTTTTTAAGTCGTTCTTTTGGATCTAAATTGATACAATTACATAAATTTAATTAGAATGTTGAAAGCCATTCCAATGCCGTTCCATTCTTTATTATTAAATTCTTTCCAATTTTCGAGTTATATATTTATTATATCCTTTCATAAGCATAAAAAATTGTTGAGATGGAAATATAAATATGCGAAATAAACTGTTAAGCCAAATAACTATTCCCTAATTAATAATTTATCTCTAGTTTTACAGTTTATATATGTTGCCAATTAGCAACCAGGGAAGTGTCAATAGACTTTCAAAGAACAGTTAATAATATTTGTTTTTATCTCCAGAGACTTGTGAAGGTGTTTTTCTTATAATTATTGATAAACATCCATTGTTGTTCATAGTTGAAACTAATTTTGAAAACAAAAAAAACAAAAAAAACTAATAACTAAAAAATAACTATTTTTACAGCAAGGAGAGCAGAGTATATCTGTTGGAAGGAGTCCATCCATATCGCTTGACCTTGGAGCATCGTTTGATGATGTTCAGCTTCTACGGGATAGAATATCAAGACTAACACAGGACAAAGAACAGCTAAATACACAGGTATTGTAGGATAAAGTATAGTATATACAGAATAGATAACTTTATTTAATGTTGATATGTACAATAAGCTGGAGAGTCATAATAAACGCTCCAAAGGCCAATATAATTATTGTTCACATACCCTGAAACCCTCCCTAAATAGCCCTTGGAAATATCAATCCCCTTCATGGTGGAGTTATAGATATTTCTGGAAAGCCTACACAATATAAACCAGTACCACAGACCCCCGCTACCCATTGGAAATTCTAGTCCACTCAATGGAAAGTTAATATTAATTATTTTCTACCATACAGTGTCATACATGTAAATATATTAATTGGTTCAATGATTTGTTTTTGTCATTTTTCACACTTTACCAACACCTTATATTTTCTCAATATTGTTCTCAGTTGGCTCACTACAGAAAAAGTTCAGAAACAGCTCAGACTGACCTAGCAGCTGAAAAAGTGATAACTACCACACTACAGAATGAGGTAAGGAAATACATGTATATACTGCATATCATATGACATTTGTGTACTAAAATTATTGGTGATGTCTATCTTATTTCTCTTTTCTTTTCTTATTTCACATGGTCTGTGCCCAGGGGGGGACTCTCTTGAAAAGTGGCTCGACGGTCGAAAATGAGACATTGCGTACCTTTTAGGGTCTCCGGCTGACTCCGTACCTTTTAGGGTCAGATTTGTTCGTTTTGAAAAATATCAAACGTCATACAAGAATATAATGGTTGGAAATGTTGGCATTTTAAATGTGGTCATACCTTTCATCATCTCAGTTAAAACCATCATCTCAGTTAATTTATGTGAACCTTTTAGGGTCACTTTCAAAACTGTCCATCAAGCCCCCCTACCCACTTTTCAAGAGAGTCCCCCCCCCCCCCCCCCGGGGGTCTGTGTCACCTCAAACTAGCTGCTATGACAGGAATGCTGTTCTTAAAATGCTGTATGATTTGTTTAATAAGTTGTCTTTTCTTACACTCATTTAGCAAAGAGATATGCAGCAGCAGCTCTCAGAGAAAGAACAAAAAATAATGGAACTAAAGGTAAGCATTCAAGTTGGCATAAGTATATCTGAATTACTTTTTGGCAATCAAAACATTATATGTTTGATGGATGAAAACTAAAACACTGCAAGAAAAAGATGCTGTGAGTGAAATTGTCTAGGTCTTAAAAAAGATTTCAAATTTTACCAATTATACCATGGCATGAAACTACCTCTCTGAAATTTGAAGTGTGCTGGGGTTTGTGAGGGGAAAAATACCAGAAATTACTTGGAGAAAATTCCTCAATTCCCCCCTGAGAATGTCTAATTTCCTCCATGGTGGGATTTGGACATATTCTGGAACCACATATTTTAAAATGTGATTTTTTTTTCAAATTTTCTCATAGTTCAATTTTTATAGCACATTATATATCACCTTTCATGGTAAGGTTTAGGGAATTAAGGGTGGTATAGTAGTTAAGTGCACTTGCTCCTGAGCTCCTTTCAAGTCTCAGGTTTGATTCCAAGGTTTGTTTGGAAGAAAATTGGAAATTCCAGATGGGTAGGGGAACTTTTTTTTTCAATTTTCCTCCATGGTAGGGTATGGAAATATTCTTAAACCTCACAATATTTATTTGATAATTTTTTAATAGTGTGAGATTGAGGGGGAAAAACAAAATGAGGCCAGATTACAAGCCTTGGTTACGTCACTCAGACAGCGAGTACGAGAAGCAGAAGATGATGCTGAAGACAGGGAAAATATCGCATCACGAAGTGATGTTACCATCTTATCTCTGCGTAAAGAAATGCAGAACTTACAGGATAAACTGCAGCAAGCAGAAGTGTCACTTAGACATCACATTGGTGTAGAAGAGGAGGCATCTAAAAGAGCATCCAAATGGGAAAATAAGGTAAGAAATAGGGACCGCAACTGAAATCTCTTTTATTGCAACTCATCCTAGACCATCCAATAATACAAGGAAATGTGCATACTGCTTAATGCATATTAAATATACATGCATCAAAACTAACTGAGCATGTATTGCAGGGAATTGCATAAAGCTACACCCCTTTACATATAGGAGGCTTTGCACCATCATGCAAGGACAGCAATGGCATGTATAGTAAAGGAACTAGAAACAGTTGAATTTTCGAATATTTTTTATTATTGTGTATTTTGAAACTTTTATCAGTCTTTTCTGAACAAAAATTGAGTTGCTCAAAGAGAAAACGAAAAAGAAAAAAAAAATAAAGTGAATGAAAGATTCCCACCAGTTCAGTAAGGACAAATAAAATAAACTGTAAAGATATTTCCAATTTATATATAATTTTTTTATTTTCTTGTTTTTAGTGCAGTGAACTGCGACATCATCTCGTTAAAGCACTTCATCTTGATGCAACAGAAGCAGCCACAATAGCGACAGAATCACTCATCTCAAAGGTATTATTTATACAAGGTGTGATTTATACAATAACATGAATACAGCTATGCCATATATACCATACAATCATAATCGTTATACTTTTTCCTCTTATTCTCAACAGATTGCTGATTTGATAAAGGACAGACACACTCTCATCGACAAGTCTAATTCTCTTACGCGAAATGTCCATGAGAGCAACATGGAAGCTAAAGCAAGCAGGTTAGAGAAATACTAGAATGAAAAATGTCATTTATTGCGATTCATCCTTATGATCATCTTGATCTTCACCATCATCTTCGTGATCATCATCATCATCTTTCGTAATTTTGATGGTCACCATCTGCATTTTTTCGTCATCATTATCATCATCAACATCCTCATTCATTGACATTCAACAAAAGCATCAGTAGACAGACCTCTTTACCTTGGGCGTAATATTTCCCATTACAGACCACGTGTCATTCCCTAGAGTATCATTTCTTTGTTGAACGGTTGCGCATGAGGAGACACATGAATATGGATACAACTCAAACAAAGAATCTTATTCTCAAGAGAATGACACATGGTCTGAAATGGGAAAACATTATGCCCAATCTAAAGTAGGTATATAGACCCCTTGCAGTACGTCGGAATGCAGCTCAATTTGGAGGACATAACAATAGGTTTCCAATTCTCAGGAGATTGAAATTCCTGTTTTGTCTTCGAATTAAGCTGCTTTGACGTCACATGAAAGGGGTCTATCGCCACAACAATAACCATTTTATCTTCATCATCATCACGATCATCATTAATCATCATTATTATCGTTATCATACTTAAATGATGTGACAACATTACCAACGATACACGAGTCTATTACGTGTCTTAATCGGTATTCATTTTGTTTTAAACTTCCAGAGAAACGATCATGCGCCTTGTATCCGAGGTCGGTCAAGAAAAGAAAGCATCCAATGAATACAAACAACAACTTGACCAAACTATACGAGAACGAGACACCCTGCAGCAGAAGGTCCGAGAGATGGACATCCAGAATGAGCAACTGAAGCGACAAGTGACGTCCAGTCAAGACGCATGGAGTGATGTGAACAAAAGTTTGGAGGAACGAGAAGCGAAGTACGTTTTAGTAGTAGGGGCGTTGTTTGAGGTGTGGTGTGGTAGGGTGATGGTCTGGCTCATCATCTACTTTCAACTACGTCTTTATATTTCTCTTAGTGTTGTCTGTCGTCTTGATCACTCTCGTAGGGGCGTTGCCTGGGGTGTGGTGTGGTGCAACTTGGTCACAATTCACGATTTCAGTTAACTCTATTCTCATACAGTCGATTTGGAAGGTGTTTTCACTCCTTGTCCTTCCTCTCGCTCCATCAATTTTATAAGTTGTTTTTGATGTGTAGGAAAATTTGATTGGGTGGGGGAGGGGAGAAGTGCGGAGAATGTCGTTCGCCCAACTTCTCGGCATCTAAGTTTTACCCCACATGAAATATAATTATTTAAATCCTTATCACCTAGATCCATTGATCTTATGTCTGAAATGCAATCTTTTTTCGTAGATTTGTATTGTAATTAAATTATTAATTTTGCTAATTTTTTTCAAGGATAAAGGCAATGGAAGAAGCATTACAGACTAGTGAATATACAGGACAAGCCACTCAACACAAGGTGAATATACCCTGCTTGTTTCAATCACATTTCCTATATCGCTGATAGTAGTTTGACAGCGTCTTTATGTGACGGTTGCAGCAAAGAAGGCGCGGTCTAAAGACGTGACAACGCTTGTACTTTCTGTTTTGTGCGCGCGCCTCCTCGTACAAGCCTGGCGTCCCCATAAGGAAGTTATTTGTGGCATTTTTCATGCAGAATGTTGAATGAAAATGAGTGCACATTCACCTTCAGATGTAGACATTATAAACTCCACAACCTACTGTAACGTTTGAATTAAGCCTCATTGGTTGTTTTTTGTTTAAATTCTTCAGCTTCATGGATTCAAGCGCCATCTTGCTCAGTTAGTAACCCCTCCTGGTGAAGATGTGACAGAAGATGAACAGTCTATACTGACCAGGGTCAATGAACTCGTTAAGAAATACAAAGATTTCAGATCGGTAATTTTTATAAAAATTGTTGTTATCGTTTGCTTGCCGGTCTTATCCGCTTGTTTATCTTTATCATAAACAGAATCATCTATCATTCATTATCATTGTCATCATAATGATTACTATAGATCATGTATCCATCATCATCATCTTCACCGATCATCATTATCCCGTCATCACCAAAAACAGCACTGCAAACGCCGCCATATCACCATTATCGTCGACATCGTCATGATGATGTCACCATGACCACTCATCACCATACTCTGACGCATACTATTTCCATCGCAATCATCACTTGACAGAAATCGCTTTTGTTAGCTCAGTTGTTTGTTTAATTGTGACGTCACCAATAATAACCATTATGACGTCATCATGTTTGTGTTTGTGTTCGTGACATGAATCCAATTTTTTGAGGTGATTTATTCGTTTTATTGTGACGTCACCAATAATAATCATTGTGACGTCATGTTTTTCCAACAGACATCCGAATCAGTGAGTGTACAAGTGAAGAACCTCGCAGACGAACTAGACAGTCAGCGTAGTCTGCATCGAACTACACTTAAACGAGCCACACAGGCTGAAAACCAACTGAAAGAATCACACGAGCGCGTATCGGGACTGGAGGGAGAGCTGTTGTCTTCTGACGTAGAGAGGGATAGCTTGAAGGAAGACAAGAGAAAGGTAGGATAGCTTTCTTATGTCAATCTGTCGGTCAGTCCATACTGTCGGTCAGTCCATCTGTCGGTCAGTCCAAATGTCGGTCAGTCCATAGGTCGGTCAGTCCATCTGTCTAGAAGCCCAGAGCTTGTCCCCAGATATAATCTATTAACACACAACTGAAATATATGATAAACAATTCTATGATTTTTGTACCACTTGCGCCGGGAAGCAAAGGGGATCACATGGCATTGATCTTTGTCCCTGGATYATCTATCGTAATTATACTGCAATATTCATTCTGCGTAGAATATTTACGTGTTCCAGGGAAGGTCCTTGGGAGTGAATAGACCTCAAGCATGATGACGTTCCATACCTAGACTTCCAGAATTCTTTTCAGTACTAGCACGATATACATTTTTATGCTAATTTTCTCTAGTGTCTTTATATTCTCAAAGGAGTTTCAACATCTAAATATATAAAGAGATTTTGAAAAGGAATGTGGTAGTTTAGATATTAAACGTCATTAGGGTAAGCGTTTATTGTGTATTCTGCACATAGAAAGGCCTTTTCTGTCTCATGTATTCGTCACATTTGACCTTTGTTCTTTTCAATCAGTTTGTAGCTTTTTGTGAGAAGCTCGCGGGAACGATGAAGCTGGACGAGATCGCTAGCGACGTTGGTTTTGATGTGAACGGTGAGGCTCTACTAGCAAGAGCTGGACAGCTTGTTAAGCTTGAGGTAGGTGGATCTTCGAGAAAGACTGGAGATATTGTTCTTGGTAAAACACTTATTCGAGTTGTCAAACCTCGATTAAGTTAGAGAGATAGAAAAATAATAAACTGTGACAATCGACAATCATAACGGCAAGCAAATTCAACAGCAAGAGCAGAATAATTTTTGTGCGCGCAATGTTTTTTCGACGCCAAGCTTCCTTGTGATTTGCAAATATTACCATTCCGCGCGCAACTGATACAATCATGCTGAACAAGTAGAATTAAAGGAAAAGGAAAACAGAAAATACACTTATACTGGCAAAAAAGTCCAAAGAAAATTCCAAAAGAAACAGACATCGGGCACTTTTATTGACATGAAATGTTGAGTGTAACTATCCTTACCGTAATCAGAATCGTAATGACGTCATAAATGAATTATGTCATTAGAATTATGAATCTGTGACGTCATAGTTCTGACGTCATAATGAGAAATTAAACGCGTTGCACGTTTGGGCGCTTTTGCTCTCCATCGAAATAACGAGTTTCTGAGCTTGTAAATGCTCGAATGACAACAGATGAAAATACAGACGTTGACCAGAATTTGTGGAGCCTGTAGCGGACAGTGTAAATAAGATTTTAAGAACGAGCGTAACTTTGAACTTGATTTATTTCAGACCGACGCATTGGATGACCGAAAAACAACCATCTACAACCTTCAACGAAGACTAAAATGGGCGAAACAACAAATCGAGAGCAAAGACCTTCACCAAGGATTGCTGAAGAAAAAGGTCGACAGCTTGGAAGAAATATTACGAGATAAAAGTAGAGTGGAGGTAGAACGAGATGAGAACTCCATACGGTTCAAGAAACTGGTGAAGCATAATGACAAACTTCAGCGAGAATTGCTGGAGTACAAACAAGAGGTTACTCACTTGAAAGCAAAACTATTGGATGTCAGTGAACTGAAGGTATGTGAACCTGGCCTTGTGTGGTGACATATAGGGGACTGGGCAGGGGTAGAATTGATTGTATCATCTGCATTCATCATTTACTCAGGGCGCACCGCTTGCGTAATGCTTGTTCAAAATGACAAACATATCTTCTAAACTACAGATTCAGATTTTTAATTATGGGTTACCAATTCCATCCATTTCGAGTTGCAGTCTTCTAAGTTTCGTTGTTGAGAAGACTACACCTACACGTTTTAACTTTGCTACCAAATATTTTCATAACACTCAGTGCAAACCAATTAACGAACACAAATATCCACTTTTCATCGAGAAATATATAAAAAAATCCATCAAAACCTCGACTATTTTTTAAAATATCTTCTTTAGATATCATATTTTGCCGTTGTTGGTGAAATGAATTAAGGCAACTAGAAACAGGGTGAAACAAAGGGAATGTTTTATTCTGATGAACAATACAATGGATGTAGGAATCAGAAATTGCTCTAATTTAATCAAAGAGATGTTTTGGAGTCTTGATGTGACTACTGTTAGCTCACAAACTTATTATATCGAGAAGAGATTTCACTCACGTTCACGAAACGGCACAGAATTCTTGAATAACCATCACGATCATCACTTCACGATCGATTCACGATCACTTTAATCACACTAAAAACCGACACCCAAAATCACAGAGGAGTGTGCATTACACAGCTATTACACGTCTGCAGACCACTTTACATATACACAAAGATCGCACGATGATCAACTTGGCACTACACGAAGATTGCACGATGTTTCACACAAAACTGCACGAAGATTGCACGATGACTCACACGCCATTACACGAAGATTGCACGATGTTCCACTTGACACTACACGAAGATTGCACGATGTTTCACACAAAACTGCATGAAGATTGCACGATCACTCACACGCCACTACACGAAGATTGCACGATGATCAACTTGGTACTACACCAAGATTGCACGATGCTTCACACAAAACTGCATGAAGATTGCACGATGATTCACACGGCACTACACGAAGATTGCACGATGATTCACACGGCACTACACAAAGATTGCACGATGATTCACACGCCACTACACGAAGATTGCACGATGATTCGCACGCCACTACACGAAGATTGCACGATGATTCACACGCCACTANCTACACGAAGATTGCACGATGATTCACACGCCACTACACGAAGATTGCACGATGATTCGCACGCCACTACACGAAGATTGCACGATGATTCACACAGTACTACACGAATATTGCACGATTATCATCAAGACACTACACGATAAACTACACGCCAATACACGCTTACGGCGTCAGTAATTCTAAACCCCATTTCTTCTCCATTTCCCAGACAAGGACCATCGAGCAAGAAAGAACGATCGAAAACCTTGAACAAGTATTAAACAAACTCGCGAAGAGTAAACAAAAGACAAAGGAATATTTGGTGGATGTGAAAACTGAGCTCGAGGCAAGTCAATCAGAGGCACGAGAAACGATGGCCAAAACCAGTGGTTCGCTGTCACAGGTCACCAGTGAACTGAATACGACTAAGATTGCTTTGGAGGAATCAAGGCTAAGAGAAAGACAGGTAGGCAATAAAATAAAACATCATTCACACCTATGTTTACGTGAAATAGATAGACTTTGTTGCGAGTCGCCAAATTACCGCTGTGCACACTGATTACAGACTCAGTTACTAAGGTCTCATTTTAGTGCCAAACATTCGCAAATACCAAGTAAAGTAAAGAATGCACAACTTCAACAATAGCGGCTTTGCGTTATCACGTGATAGCAACCATGACAGGAGGCACAACAATAGGGAAACTGAAGTCTTTCTCGTGTAAAGCAGATGAGACCAGATTCCATTGTTTCTGCCTCCTGTCATGGCTGCCATCACGTGATGGTTCTACACAAACTCGAGGCTAACTCTGAGCGACAACATAGAACTCGAAAATGTAATACGATTTGTCGTCACGACAAAATAGTGTTTTGGTGAACCACAATCAAAGTATGTCCTGAGAGACTATTCTAGCAGGGAAAACAATTTTTCTAGCTTCATCTTTGCACTACTGCAAATTCCTAGAAACAAGATTTTTTACAAAAATCATCTCCATTTCATTTCAGCTTTTGGACTTCAGGCAAGTTCTGGCGAGGTTACTAGGGCTTGACGTCAACAACTTGTCCGTCCCTGACTATGAAATTATCGCCCGACTTGAACGACTAGTGCAGGCTCACCACGCTCATTCCATAACGACACATAGCCTAGAGGGCAGTCTGCAAGACATGGAACACGGATTCCGAAATGGTTATGAAGATGCAATAGCCATACTACGCGCGCCATCGCCCCTTAAAGTCAGCAGCTCATAACAAATGAATTATTACAGTTAATATTCATCGAAAAATCGGGAAACTCCTCGTTCGAGCTGGCCCAGGATTGGTACATCCCACAGTGACTTTATTTCCAATGTCACGTGACATTATCGTCGTCGCTCTTTTGCTTCTGGTGACGACGCAAGAACTGGGGACTGGAACGAGTTTTGACGTTAAAATTAAATTGCGGGTTGTCTCTTTACCTCATGAATTTAACAAATAGACATCAGTTTTTTAATGTGTCTGTACTCTTATTGACAATAAATTGTGTCATCACATTGTCAAAGTAGTATGGAAGCGTAGCCGAGTGGATCCGCATACTACTTTGACAATGTGATGACGAAATTTATTGTCAATAAGAGGACAGACACATAAAAAACTGACGTCTATTTGTTTTTTACGATAACAAAAACGATAGAAACTTCTTATTTTTACTGATCAAAACAACCAACGGAAAGAGCGCGCGTTCGTTGGCGTCAGCTTTATCTGTGTCTGTCCTCTTATTGATGATAAAAAAATAACCAATCAGCGCGCGAGAAATTTGTAAGTTATTGTAAAATCCTTAATATAGTAATCAGTCCCAATTTGAATAAGTTAACATACGCTCTTTTTTAGACAACACTTCACTCTTTTTACATCATTGACGTTTCATTCCGTAAAATTATACGCTACGTGCTATCCAAAGACATCTTCAACTTGTCAATCATTATGCAACTGAAATATGTTTACGAATTGGCTTCAAGTTGTCCTGACCGTGTGAAAATTAGCGAATTATCATGATTCTGGAAGAAATTTTGAAATTTTCGAGTCACTGTGGGATTCAAAGTAGAAAACGTCAAAACACTCAAAAGGCTTCCGATTCTCAAGTGGTCAGCCTGGAATGAAAAGGAACTCTCTTGCCCTCATCTGATAAAATAGATTGTAAATACATATTCCTCGCAAGAACCACTTAGAATCGTACGATTTGAGCGAGTATATTTAATATTGAGCTAGGATTAGACATTAGGGAAATATATTGTTTGCAATGTTTTGAAATACTAAAAGATGCTTTTTAAACCAAAAAATAACTAAAATGTGAACAAAATAAGTAAACGAATAAATAACGCAAGTAAATCATTTGTTTGATTTTTCATTAATTTTTATTTTAAAAAGAATTTGGCACATTTATATAAATCTCGTGTTGTGAATGTATTTTTCCAGTGAATTTTCTTAATCTTAAAATGGTGATTGTATTATTTTACCTTATATACGACAGATAATCCATCTTGAGCTGTAAGATATGCATTATAATAGGAGGGTCTCTATTAGGGAGTCTGTCTTACGTTGAGATGATTAGTTATAGAGATGTAGGATTTTATTCCGGTCATATACATGTAGATATTTTGAACGACTCTAAAAATATATGAATTAAAATTTAAAGTAAATTATTATATAAGTGTATTGAATTAGTTTTTTTTTATATTTACGATATCAATTTATTCATTCATTCCAATTCCTTTCCTTTTTTTTTTTTTTTTTTTTTTTTTTTTTCTTTTTTTTTTTTTTTTTTTTTTTGTTTTTCCTTCTCTTCGCTTCTATTTATCTTTTCGTTTTCAAACATAGGCTTAATTGATCGCTTTTCCCAAGGATTGATTTTTATTTAACTAGAACTAATTCACAATATGTCATTCCCTTGAGTCACATTTCTTTGTTTAATGGTTGCACATAATAAAGACACAAGAATATGGATGCAACTCTAACAAATAATCTTATTCACAAGAAAGAGATATAGTCTTAACTAGAAATATATATATAGGAAAAACGAACTGCGTGTAAAATGTATGACTGAGTTTAAATTGAAATTTTAAAAGTCGCGTTTATCATAGTGCATCCGTCTTTCATTTCCTATAATAAGGTAAATCTCCGAGGAAATTCATCAATGCCTGCCATATTTATATATTGAGTTTTTAGCGTAGTATATGTTTACCAACATCTGCCACTTAGTTGAATAGCATAGCCATCTAGGTGTCGTTTTTTCCCTAAGTGTTTATTTGTATTGTAATCGTAACCGGTAGTCCTCTGGCGAGCAGTTAGAAATAGAATATTGAAGAGTTGTTCCTAAATGAAGAGAAAAAATAATGGAAAAAATATCATTTTCTTCCCTTCTCTTCTCCTCTCTTCTC